ATCTCACTGGAAGCATGGTCAGTGGTTAAATTTACCATATATATATATATATATATATTTTAGTCTAGATTTCACTACAGGGTAGCTGCAGGTGAGACAGAACTGATTTAACTGTAAAGAATAAATACGTCCTCACAGTTCTCCTAAGCTTTGCATGTACGAGATCTGCTCTGAAAGTGATGTCTCCTATTTTATTATGTTTTCCCTGAACATCAGAGATGGATGTTGATGGTATGGCAGTTGAGGCTTAACCTCCCCACCAGTATCCCACTCCATGTTGTTGCCATGTGACCGATGGCAGCAGAAGGGGCAGTTTTGACAGAATGGCATCTGACATGGAAGTGCAGATGGAGCAGAGGTGTGGAATTGAATTCCTCCATGTGGTAAAAATGGCACCCACTGACATTCAGCCAATATTTGTTGAATGTTTATGGAGACCAAACAGTGGATGTGAGCTCCCTGAGGCAGTGGGGGGTGCATTTCAGCATTGGTGACAGCGGTGTGAAAGAGAAGTCACATTCTGGATGGCCGTGCACATTTTTATGAGTGCAGCATGCAGGCTCTTGTTCATCACTGTCAAAACTGCATAGCTAATGGCTATGACTGTATTGAAAAGTAATGTTTTGTAGCTGCAGATTTGCTCTATGAAATTGTTATTGTTTGAATCTGTTCTAGTTTCTATAAAAATAAGTAGGAGGCATTACTTTCAGAGTGTCCTACATAGTTCGGTTGTCAGAATCTCAGTGTATTTCTTCTGATTTATCTGAGTTGACTGCCAGATATTTTGGGTCTAATGACATTTCTACTGGTGTTAGTTACAAGTTACTTAGAGGCTGTGCTTTGAGCACAGAACATCTGGACTAGATTACTATTTGTATGCTGATAATTGAGAATAGACCACTGTCTTCCTAAAAGATATATGTATGTGTTCTCACATGTGTTTCAAGTGACATTCGAACAGTTGGAAGAATATTTGTCTCAAAATGATGGAGAGTAGTGAGAATATCATAAAAAATCTCATCTTCTCGTATGTAAGTCAACAAAATTGTGACAGATAATGTATCTACGTCTGCTTCACAGTGAAGATAAAACCACTGCTTAAACTAGATCAACAAATAGAAAAATTGCTGTAAAATGAAAGCACATTTATAGTTTCTCCATCATCCATGTCCCTGCCTCTACCCAAGTCAAGGATGGCTGTACTTGCTAACAGAAGCTCATTTAATGAATAACTGTACTTCTTGTTTAGAAATTCCAGTTATCCTTTCTTCCTCTCTGGAGATGAGGACAAAGTGCTTTTGGACCCTGTGCTTTCTGATGGGTCTTTTCTTGCAGTGTGGCAAGGTTGGATTTTGTGTCTAGTGAGCTACTGTATCTGAAACCTTACTAGGGAAGACTGGAGCTTTATTATCTTAGTTAATAGTGTTCCTATGATGTGCAGTAAATAAAGTGGAGCCAGTCACTTTTTTTTCCATGGAAAGGGTACCTTGACAAGTTCTTCAGAGTAAGTAATAGACTATAATTACCTCTTATTTGTTTGTGTTCTAAATACTCCCTAACGTAGATAAAATAATGCAGCTGGCAGGATGAATTTTAACAACTGTATCATCTCCAGCAAGCTGGCTCTGGTGTTAGTTTGCAATCTGAATTTCCTATATGGCCTGATGGTTTGTAATATTTACCTTTAAGCTCTGTGAAGGTCCAACAAGGGGCCTTGAAGGCTAATTATCACCTGCAGACCTAACATAGCTTGCTATGTGGCTTGTTGCTTTGCAGATCTTTGACCTCTACTGGTGCTTAGAATTGTTTGTTGGATGGAGTGGCTCACATACTGGAGAGGTGTTTGGCGTACATAAAAACATCATGTCTATATCTCCTAGTATTTATAATTTCCCTTGATTTGCTTAGAGTCATTATGAGTAATACTGCTGTTGTACCTAGGCTGAGTGCATCCTGTTTTTATTACTTGCACTTTCAATTTGCATTGGCTGGGTCTTGCAAGATGAGGTAACCCAAGGGTTTTTGAACTTACTCCTGACTTTTAGGCAATGGAGAAAAGAGTACCCAAGATCTACTTCAAGTTTTAATCACATCAACTGCTGGGAAGAAGGAGACAATAATAACAAATATTGTCTGGTAGTGTGGAAAAACAAATTCTCTTCTCCTGAGAATTTTTTCCACAGTGATGCTGAATGTTACAAAATCTCCATAATCTGCAGGCAGTATTTCTGCAGTACCATCTCAGCACTGCTTCAGCATTGAGACAAACATTGTCCTGCTGTTTTAATCTTCCAAGACAGACAAGGATATGTAACTCCTGGCATGTAGTGCCTTATCTGGTCTTCTGAAACAGTTCAGAAACGTGGGGAAAAAAATACCTGGCGTAGGTAAATACAAAAGAGAAAAAAACAAAACAAAAACAACAAAAACCCGAACCAACCAATCATAAGAAGGACTTTGTTGTCTGATATTTTGGGTGGTAACATTGATGTGTTTTATTACTATGTACACCTTTATAGAATTATCTAATATTCTATAATGTGAGTAAGTTTGGCTTAGCATTCAGTGGCATATTTACCTGTTGGAGTAGGAGAGCTATAGTACATGTCAGTTTCCTGATGTTTGTATGTCTGAATGTGGTCTGGTGTGCTTTATTCCTCCATGTATCTGCTGTTGATCACACCAATGTGTTCTCACTCCTAAAGTCTGGAGTAACGTTGGAAGTCTTGAACGAATGCCTGTTCCTGAATGTTATCTCATTTTGCTGTCTACATAGGAAATTAAAAAAAAAACAACACCTTATTGCTAGAGGTTGAGGAGGTATTTTTTCTTTGACTAATACTTGTTTTAGTAGTTGCTGAAGATTTGCTTCACTTTCAGAAGACTGACCACAAAAGAAAACTAGATTTGTTGCCCAGTTGAGATTTGACAGCTGAGTGTGTCAGCGCTCGGTCTACTAATTTCCTTTGTGAAAGCTTAATAGCTACCAGGTGCACGGGTACATTTCAAAAATAGTTTTAAATTTTGATTAGTCACATTATTATGTAGTACCCATTTTTAACCAATTTGTAGCATTAGGTAAAAAAGATACCTTTTGCTATTGAACAGTATCAAATCTAGCAACTGTTGCCACTTCTAATGTTACAGAGATGTCCTGGGACTTAAAAAGTTTTATTGATAAAACTTCTTAGGTTGGTTTTTCCTTACGTTGTGACAACAGTGTGCGAGGTATGTTGCAAACAGGTAAAGTTGCATGTTTTTGAAGGGCTGCTGGTGTAAATAAGTCACCCTCTAATAAACCACTGGAAGGTAGGAAGGAACATGCAAGGACACTGATGAACTTTCTTTCACAGCCCTCAGAACCTTTGTGTAAAAATTTTTCTGATTCCAAATTAGATTTTACTCCTCTGCTTAGAAGGCTGAAGTTTGTTACTCTTTGATAAATGCCTTTAAATGATACTCGCTGTGCTACATTTAAACTTTGCCTTTTGCTACCAAATGTGCATTTTACCTTAACAGGTTTGTAACTTGGAGATGGCACACAAACCTCTGTCCTTAAGAACTCGAGTTGTAGATATTTACTAGTGTGATGATTATTTATTAGGTAGTCTTATATGTACCCAAAATTTAGCTTCAAATACAAGTTAGTGTGGGTTTAATTGCACTCAAATGTATTGGTTAAGATTTGTTTTATTTACACTTTTGTAAAGCGCATTGAACCTTATAACAATTAACTGTGCTGGACAGACTTGCTGGTTGAGCTTCAGATTTTGCATGGAAGCTTCTAGGAATTTTACTGAAATGAAATGTCTAACTTAGTGAATATAGTTACTTTTTCTCTAGAGTAAGAAAAAGTGGAAATTCTTAGGGGGAGAGGAAAAAAGTAGGCATGGGAACAAGATACTTAAAATAATATTTAGTTTTAATTTAATGCTACGTGGTCCTAGTTTGCTTTTCTTCTGTAATGAGAATATAGAACAGCTTGTATTCTTGCACTCTATTTCCCCAAATTATACTTTAAAACTAGATCTAACAGTAGTGATTATACCATACTTTTTTTTTTTTTTTCTTTCAACTCTTACCCATTTTGTATTTGAAAGCCAAAGCTGTCAGTGGTCTGTTTACTTTATCTCACTCATATGCGATGGAAATAAGTGGCATTTGTAGAACACACAAACTATTTTTGCCTGAATGCTCCATTTATGATTTATAGCCAACACGTATCCCTGATTTTCTTTTGAGAATGATCTTTATTGTCTTTGTGTACTAACTTATTGCAGAAGCACTTGTCTATTTTGAGCTAAACCAGACCTCTTGTAAAAAGAATCAAATTATTTCGTCATGTTGAAAATGAAAAGCTATAATTACTTGTAATTGGGCCTCAGAATTTTTGAAAATTAGGAAATTCTTTTCCCGAAGTTCAAGATCACTCCAAATCATAACCTGTGGAAAATAGGAAATAATTTTCTGTTCTACTTAAGTGATTTAATTTACACTTTTGACAGCTATTTTCCTTTGATATTTGGGCAGAGGAAATAGTTCGGCTATGGTGGTTATTACTAAAATCTTCTCTCTGATCCTGTATGCTGTGTGGTTCACAACTTCATTTTGTTTTCTCTAAGTCCAGGCAGAATCTCATGCAGTTCAAAGAAGTATGTAAAGTTTGGACTACTTTAATTTACTAAGCATGTACTTCTGCCTTATTTATTTATCTGTTTGTTCATTTGTTTCCTGGTCTTTGCAGTTATATTATACTGTTTTAACAAAAAATGCAATGCTCTTTCATTTTTTAGGCTTTATAAGTTTAAGTGGAAGCTGGAAAAAAGCTAACATACGTTATTTTTTTTTTTCTTTTGTTAGATTTTATTGTGAATATCCTGCTTTTCAAAAAATAACTACTTTTAATCTCTAAACTCATTGTTGTAATGATAATAGCAAATGTTGCAAGCAGTATGCTATCTCTTTATGTTTATGTTTGTTTTTTTTTTTAATTGAGCTAACTAGGTATGTTGACTAGTTTAAGATCTCGTCATGTCCAGTTCAGGAAGCAACAAAGACATCTTCCAAAACCATAACGCACTCTCAAAAAAGGCAGTGACATCTTGAGTCAGTAGAGGACTCAGAGGTTCATGATGAAACAGAACTGAATACAGTGTAAAGTAGAAAGCTGGGTCCAGCAGCCTGGAGTTGGCAGAAGGGGGCCCACTAGATAATTGGCACCTTCAGGTTTGAAGTTAAACACGGGTGCAGTGTGTGAAGAAGTGGCCTTTTTCAGCAGGAACTGTGCGGTAGGGAATGGGGAGAGAAATGGTACACAGAATTGGTTTGTGTGTGAGAGAATATAGCAAAAATTGCATATCATGAAACAAGATGGTAGAAAGTATGCCTTACTGTAAGCCTTAGCTCTTCCTTCTTCGTTTGGATGCCGTCAAGTCACATAGCTGCTTGAGTTAACCTTCTTGTAGGCACATTTAAAATTGGGTGAAACTTGCGCTTTTAAATACTTAGCTGTAAGGAACACTCAGCACAGGGCCTAAAGGTCTGTAGTGCCTGTGCAGTTGTCTGCTTCATGCACTTGTGTCTGATGTGAGAGCAGAAGATCTGTAGAAGGGATTGGTAAAACACAACAGAGAAGGGGGAATATCTTGCATTAGATAGATTGATAATCACATTATGATTAAGATTGGAAAAGATCTCTTAAGATCATCTAGTCCAACCATCAATCCATCATCACCACGCACACTAGCCACATTCCTCAGTGCCACATCTCCACAGTTCTTGAACACCTCCAGGCTCAGTGACTCCACCACCTACCTGGGCAGCCTGTGCTACTGCCTCACTACCCTTTCAGAGCATAGTTTTTTTCTAAGTTAAACTTCCCCTGGTACAAATTAAAGCCATTATCTCTCATCACTAGTTACCTGAGAGAAGAGGCTGACCTTCACCTCACCACAACCTCGTTTCAAGGAGTTGTAGAGAATGATAAGGTGTCCCCTGAGCCTCCTCATCTCCAGACTAAACAATCAGAGTTTCCTCAGTTGCTCCTCAAAAATTTGTACTCCAGACCCTTCACCAACTTTGCCACCCTTCTATGGATCCACTCCAGGGCCTTGACACCTTTCTTTTAGTGAGGGGCCCAAAGCTGAACAGAGTAGTCAAGGTGTGACTTCACCAGTGCTCAGTACAGAGAGACAATCATCTCTAGTCCTGCTGACTATACTATTTCTGATAAAAGCCAGGATGCCATTGGCCTTGTTGGCCACCTGGGAATGCTGCTTTCTCATGTTCAGCTGGTGACTAGTAGCCCCAGAGCCTTTTCCTCCATGCAGTTTTCCAGCCACTCTGCCCCAAGCCTGTAGCGGTGCATGAGGTTGTTGTGACCAAAGTGCAGAACCTGGTACTTGGTGTTGTTAAAGCTCATATGATTGGTCTCAGCCCTTTGATCCCACCTGTCCACATCCCTCTGTAAAGCCTTGCTACCCTCAGGTAGATCAATACTCCTCCCAGCTTGCTGTCATCTGCAAACTTACTGAGGGAAATGTAGCTTACATACTAATTTTCATCAGTTGTCAATTTAAGAAAGTGTTACTGTATCCCAGTGAAGAATGGAGGTGTGGAAGAGTGAAGAGATGTGGTTTGGCTGTGGGTATTCCTGCCCACAAGATAGTAGGATTTGAGACAATACTGAGATCTTGTAAGAGCTTCTGACTTTCTCTTTGTTGGAATCCGTGTAAGTTCTGTGATTAGTTTTTTTTTTATGTTTCAACTCATCTGGTGTAGTTTAAAAAAAATAATAATTAAAATAAGCACAAATTCTTACAAGGGAAGCAGTTGGAATCTGCTAGATCTAACAGTAATTGCTCATCGTATACAGGCATGATACAGCCCGTACCTTCATCGTACGTCAGCTATGCGTGATCATGTCTTCTGTATATCAAACAAGAATACTTCCAAAATGATACAGCTTGTCAGCTTTAAATTCAGCCAGAGGCCAAGTACACATTTGAGTTACAATTAGTTTTACATTTGGATGGCCCATTGAAGAACTATATCTTTTTGGGGATAGTATACAATCATTTTCTTGTAATGTGTTCTTATTTTGTACATTTCTCTCTCTTTGAAAGAACTCAATATATTTTCTCAAGATTAGAAGTATTCTTAAAATTATTTTGGAGCTGTTATGACTAGAAGGGTTTTTCTAGATTTTGTTGTTGTTGTGGGCTTCTTGCCAACAGCTGCTGTGGAAACGAAATCTTCATGCGAAGAAGTGTGTGTTCTTTTTGAAGGTTAACCAGAGCCTGCCGAGCACATCCTAAGCATCTGGCTCATGAGATTAAAAGCCTTAAAAGTAAAGGCCTGTAAACCTAAGAGAATGAGTAACCACTTTAAAGCAAATTTTAGATGTGAACAGAGAGCCTAAAAAATTGATCAGCAGGAAAAGTTGTCCTTTTTAGTGAATAAGAAATGTAAGACTATAATGAGAACTGATAAAAGTCAGGCTCTTAGACTTGGCAAAAGGTACTAAAGCGAGTAATGAGAGGTTTGGCAGGTGATTACTCTGAAGGGTATATGTAAGATAGGTCCTATTAATTATTTGCATTATTGACCTTTCTGCACACACATGAAAAACAAAACTGTACTTACGAAAACCTGCTGACATAGTGTTGGGAGACACTGTTGGTATGTTGTAGAGTTGAAATAGCTCAATAATTGCCTAAGACTGAAGTCTAAAGTAGTAGAAATTAGATGACACGTAACATGAGGTTGGGCACTTACTTAGCAGTATTTTCTGATAACTTTGGCAAGCTTGTTGGGTGGAGGGACCCCAGCTCATCTCTCCTTCTGCAGTGCCTCCATTACAGACCTTAAAGGATTTGCTTCTTTTCTGTTTTGAGGTATTTCCTGATGAAGGTAGTCTCCTACATACTCAAATCCTGACAGCTTATTAAAAGTAAAACTGATAGAAGATTTACTAAATCTGTATGAAGATCTATATGTTTGCTTGTGATGGATATCCATAACAAGATTTATCTTGTAGTAAGAAAAAGTCTGAGAAAATCTGAAAGAATTGCATGGGAAGCTATTTACCCTTTTAAAATTATTATTATTTTTCTTTTTCTTTGATCATATCAGAGAACATAGGACAGTATCCCATCTGTTAGCTAAACACATATGTGACATTATGTGACACAAATGATTTTTTGGACCATGTTAGTGAAAACTGTACACTAAAAGGGATATCCAGAAGCAATTTTCTTGATGATGCTTCAGAGTTTGCTTGGAATAGGCTTCTATCTTCAGACATGCACATCAAAAATGATTTCCAGAAATGCTGGAAATAATATAATAATAAGGTTGGATTCCGACTCCTATGGTGAGAAGAAGAATGTTTCTGGAAGAGCTGAAGGAATTATCTGGCATACAAAACTAATAAATCAAACTACAAAACTTCTGTATTTAAAAACATAAAATAAATAACAACAAAGAAAAAATAACAAAAACTTACAGTATGGAAATAAAATGCCAAATTTTTGAGGGGGCTGAATTTAGCAGAATTGTGTGCCATTCTTTCCTTTTTACAGTGTGGGTTTTATTGTAAAAGGAAGACTTTGTTGTGTATTTTAATTTTTTTTTTAATTTTTTATTTATTTATTTTTTTTTTTCTCCATATAATTTGGAGTAACTTTTAATATCCTCTCATAGTTGTTAGGGAAAATAGTGATTTTATGTATCTGTGATTCTGTGCTTTCTGTATGAATTACTTTAGTACTACTTAAACCATTTGCTGCAAGGTGATGCAGACTTCTTTTTAAGTTGAGTCTAAGAAAATATCTGTAAATTAGCACTAATGGTCAGTGTGGCTGGAAGAGAAACTCTTTCATGTTTGGAATTGACTGTGAGATTGAACTTACTCCAATTTATTGCAAAGTCAATATTCAGCTTAAAAATTAAAAAGGTTAATAATTATTAGGTTTTCAGAAGAAAGTAGTAGTGTTATGACCTGCCTAACATCACACAGCTACAAAAATGCTATAAAATGATTTTTTAAGCTTATATTTATAGTGAGTAGATGGCTTATTCCTTTATCTCACTACTTATGCATCCATGAACTGTTAATTAATACTTCTGCAGTAATTATGGAATATTTTAAATAGACATTATTCTTCTGAATTTTAAAAGATCAGGATTTTTTTATTAATTTAAAAGGATAATAGGACTGACCCATACTTTGGGCAACTCTTTCATAAAGAGGTGCTTTTTAAGATCATTTAAATTTTTACATTTTGATTGCATGGAATAATAAAGCCTTACATTTTCTTCACATTTTCCCATTTACTCTTCTAAGCTGGGTCACCATTGTATCAAAAAAGGTCATTGTTCTCCATAAAAAGGTGAGCAATCGCCTGTTAGTATTGATACCAGAGAACTTACAGCCAGTGTTTTTTGTCTTCTGGCATGGATTTTTCTTTATACAGAGGACTGAAGCTTGTAAGATGAATTTTTATTCCATTTAGTTTCTTCTTCTTTTCCACCTTCTTTGTTTTACACCTGAGAATGTTTAACCCAAATGTTTAGGTATTTTTTTGCAGTGGTTCTCCTCCCAGCACTCCTCGATGAGTGGCTGCTGTGGAACAGAAAAGAAACCGGAGCACCTCTAGTAGGTGAGCAGTACAGTGTGGAAAACTCACAGACTAGGATTGTAAGAAGAGAGAGCACGTTTTAGTATGCTAGCTGATACTGTTGGGAAGGACACACAGGTTTGAGGCAGTTCTAATGCTTTCTCAGGTCTGAAATAAAATCTGCAACCTTTGAGAGGAGTGGAGATCAGGTGTCTTTGAGTTCAGCTGATCAGGCTTATCAGAAGAGCTGAGAGGAAGGATGGCTGCTCCTTTTGGAGTGGAGGAGTGGTACTGACAAGAGTGGCAACAACAGAAAACATGAGAGGTAGAAATCAAAGGTCCCAGTGAATTCCTGTGCGACACCCATTGTGGCCGTGTGATCTTCCATGGTCAGCCCCATGCAGGCAAGCAGCATGCTGCCAAGGAGACACATTCATTTGGACTAGGGAGGTAAGGGGAAAGGCATAGCAAGCACTGAGATGAGTTAGAAATAATTTATATTGTTAAAAAGCTAAGTTGTTGGAATTGAATGTGAAACTGTGTAAAACATCCCATGTTTCAATAAAGTAGCCTTTAGATGGTTCTTTTAATCTTTTCCTCTTTAAAGTTCAAGTTAATTTTAATGTGATCTGAAGGTAATATGATGTATAAGATTACATGTATTCTTCATATAATTTGAAGGTGTATTTAAGAAGTGTGCCTTGGCTGGTTTGTTGTTTGGAATATTATCTTTGGATTTCCTTGCTTTGCTATTCTTAAGACAGTTTTAACATTATCTGCTGTAGGATTTCTCTTGTTTGTTTTGTTGAAAAGTAAAAAATAAGGAGATAGCAGTACTTCTAACTGTCCTTAAGGCATTCAGGTAATGGCCAGCTCTGAATGGTTAGTTGTGGTGCAAATAACATTGTGGAAATAGTTTATTTTCCTTTGTGATTGATTGACTGAAGGCTATGTTTGTTCAGGAATTTTGCTAGACTGCACAAATGTTGAAGTTAGAGGCACAGATGCTGGGTGAAAGGAACTGCCCGTCTGTTCCTGATTAAATGTGCCTTATGGACTTGAGTGGCTTATTTCTAGTAAACTGTTTGTTTATAAATCTGTATACATGAGTTATTCACTTACATACCATAAAAATCATGACCCAGTTCACAGAGCTGAATAGGTTATGCAAATATTTCCACAGGTTGCATGCATCTAAGTAATTTGATCGATGCCCATGGCAACTCTCACCTGCTCACCTGTTCCACATTAAGGTGTGTAAAACACCCTTAATTTTCTTAGCCTTGCCTTTGTCACAGCTGTTTGACCTTTTCTTTCTGTTGATCCAGTAACAAGAGGTGTGGAGGAAGGGGCAAGGTTTCTGTGACTGCAGTAAGAACTGAAGCAAGCTGCATCTGATCAAGATAGGCCTTTTGCTATTTTGTTTCGTACTACATTATCAGTTGCATTTTATTTTGCATAATGTTCTTCTCTTTGAGTGGCTTCCAAATGCGTAACTTGCCTCACAGATCTTTACGTCATAGTAGGTAGGTGAACAGTATTTGAAATCAGAATGCTGGCTAATGTTATGGAAATTCCTGAATGGTTCACAGGTTTATGTATGTTTGTACACAGTATTAATAAAACAGAAGAAAGCAGTGTATAGTGATTTAAGGCTAATTCATAAATGGTGATAGAGGACTCTTAACTAACTATATTGTTTGCTGAGGTTAAGCATCAGATTTTATTTGGCTCTTTATTTATGCAAACAGCAACATAACCAAAGTGAGCCATTTTCTATCCTTCATCGTGCTCTTCAGTCTAAAAATATGTTCCTAAGTTTCTTTCAGGGCACTTAGTAAAACCCAATAAGTAAGTGCAGCAAATTATGAAAAGGAAGTGGAGTAGCTCAAAATAAGCTGTATTTCATTTGATGATCTGAGAAGCATTTCTTGATCTTGGTTGACCTTTGCTTTTAATTCCGTGTGAAGGTGAAACGTTCAGAGATTTGCAGCTCCCCTTTTGTGTCTCCTTTCTGGAGGAAATAAAGTTGTCTGTGAAGATTGGGAGGCATAACGTGTTCTGGGTATCTTCTAAATCTAAGTAAGTGAGTGGTAAAGACCTCTGAAGATGCAGCACAATAGAACTCAGCCACTCAGTCTTAGACACTATTCTTAGGGTGGCTACTGCGTAATTGAGGATGCTGAACCATTTATGATCATCTTTCCAAAAGAAAGTATATATAAAATACAACTAAGGTACAGACTTGTCTGCAGTTTTCCTAGTTTCAGTTCAGTTGTCTCCAAACAGTGTTTATTTTTTGGAATTACATGTTTTTTCCTGATAAAGGTTTGTGATGAGGCATTTAGGATATGTGGGTTGAGCAGGTTATGTAGGTATTTTTCTGAGGTAGCATGCCAGATTTCCTTTTGGAATACAAGCAGATTTTTTTTGAGGAAAGTGTTTTGTTTGTTTCCATTTCAGGATATTATACTAAATACTGTCATCTCTTTGCAGTGACAAGCAGAGGATGGAAAACTAGCTGTTATCATAGGGTACTGTTAGATTTTTCCATTTACTACTAGCTGCATTTGAAGAATATCTGTTCTCAGATGTACATTTTTTTTCCATTATCAGACTTTATAATGTGGACAAGCATATGCCTTTTTTTCTACTAAACACTGATGGATCACGTCTGATTAGAAATTCTTATTATTTCACAGTTTGCATGTTTGGTGGTGCCGTAGTGTAATTATGAGATTGTTTGAACCTCAGCTATCAACCAGTAATAACCTGTGAATCCCACTTTATTGTGAAGTCTTGCTGTATGTTTTTGCTGTTGCAGAAGTTGACTTGAGAGCGACAAGTTGAGGATTATTAAGTGTATAATCCAGTTTGTATGAAATGTAATGTTTTAACACATCTTGTGCTCTCTCTCTTGTGATCTGAATTTAAAAAATAAGAAAAAAGTTGAAAGATGAAGTCTAGAGAAAAAACTAAATATCAATGAATTTTGAAAAGCAATTGGAATGTTGATTATTGACAATATTGCACTTTATAACAGTATAAAGCTGTTTACTCTTATTGAGGAAAATTGATTGTAGTGGAACTTAATGATAACTTGCAGGAAAAAAGAGAAACAACATCCTGCCTGATTTATTTTTATTTTTGCAGTTTGTTGAGTTGTGCAGTTGATAGTAGTGGGGGAACCTCAGAGATGTAGTGGTCTGCTTCAGATCTCTGCCTCCAGAGTTTTTTTCAAAGCGATGGAATGCGTATACATCACATAGGTACAGAAAGCTTCTGCTGACTCTGAACCAGTGATGCTGAAGCACCATGCAGAACCTGTCCTTCAGGTTTTATTTTGGAGTGGATGGGTGCTGCCATTTCTTACTAAGTTTCTTCTCTGCTTTTTTTTTTTTTTAAATTGCAAGGGATTTTAATTTTGTGCAAAGATTAAAGGCCCAAGAATGTGATCTAGAAGTGGATGCAGTAGTGGTATTAAGCAGTATTACTGTGAAGGAATACGTGTTATTAAATATCAGGCAAAATACTGAGAGGAAGGAGAATAGCAGTAGATGGATAGTATGTTTGTTTGCAGGCATCTAAATACTGAATTTATATTAAACTCTATTTGTCTCTAAAGGAGAAAAGAGTACTTGAAGTCAGTGTACAACTTTTACAAAGCAAGTATTTTAGCCAGTACGCAAGTGTAAGGTGCTGTGTTAGAAGCAAAGTAGCAAGATGCATTTACTAAACAGAAAGCAGAAATGCTTATGGTTTCTGTGATCTCTTACAAACTGCAAGGTAAAATCCATGTCACTGTTCCTAGCACTGTATTTTGTCTCTGGACTTTGTAGTTGGTGTACGTCTTGCAAAAAGTCTGCAGAGCAAAGGAGAGCATTTGTTCAGGCACGCTGCTGCTGCTGGCTCTGATCTAACAAGGGCAGCTGTAGCCTGGTGCTCTTGGCTTTGTTGGGTACTAGCCTGCTACAGGCCCTGCACTGAACTGCAGTGGCTTTCTTCATGTAGCACATCATCTCCTGTCACCTGTACTAGCTGTGCGTGCATGTCAGTGCAGACAAGATGCTTGACACATAACTGAAGGAAAAAAGACGTGATATTGTTGTACTGGAAAATACATCAGCTCCACCCAGCCACTGACTCTCTCTCTACTCTTTATGAATGCCTCAGCACTTTTTAGTTTGTGAGAGGAGTCTTTGTAAATGCATAATGCTTTATACCACGAGTGCTGCTTGCTTGTAAGCTGGTTGTCAGTCAATGCTTCATGCATCAGGCTGTATTGTCTGCCTCTGGGTGTTGAAATTAAGCATGGTACAGCCTGTGCTCAGCAGACCTGGATGCAATTCATCTGGGCATTCAGACACAGAAAAATGCCTTGAAAGTTTGCTGTGGTCTTCTAATTTCTGTAAATCCATGTCTGGATTCCATTAGCACATAATTGCAGTTGTTCTTAAGATCCCCTTAGAAAACAGTTTGACCAAAACAGCGTATCTGCTGTTCCCTACTTGAATGTGTTTCAGTTCTGGCAAACCAGCCGAGAAAGAGATTTGTCTGCACATCTAACTAAGAGCCAAGGACTTTTTGGTCAGGAGAAGTAGGATTATGTGAAGTCTCTCTGTGCCCCAGGTTCACTTTCCTTGGGCAAATTACTAAAGTCAGCAATTTCAAACTTAGGAGACTGGAGTTAGGTGTTGACAGCCATCTTTAAGTACCTAAATAAGTGGTCTCATTTTAAGAGGTCCTGAGCACACAATTCTTTCTGACTTCAAAAGAAGCTGCAAATGCTGTGTCCACTTTGATTAATTGAAAGGCTGACCATCAAAGTGAAATTATGTTGCCAAGCTAAAGGAAAAGAAATAAAGACTTAGCACACTGTGTAAATCAATCGCAAATCAGGGTTTACTGGGTACAGAATGTATAGCATCTTATGTGCCCTTTTGTACTTTCTGAATCTCACTGGGCCCAAAACTATAACAGGAAACCCCACGCGATTTGTGAAATATGGTAATGCCCAGAAACATTTGCCAGTTTAGCCATTGAAAAATAGATATGGCTGCTCAAAATTTATACTGTTTGCTAGGGCCTTGGGTGAAAGGAAGACAAAATTTTAAAATGCTTATTTTTTTCATTCGAAGGTAATGTCTTAAATCCTTGAGAGATGAACAACCTACTACCTTCACCTACTTTGATCGATCTGTCTTTGAGGCGTGATTTACACCTTATTATAGTACTTCAGGTTATGGCCTCTGTTCCTGAAAGTTTTGTGGAGATAGGTGTGTGGGGAGGAAAAAATAAAAGCCCTGATATGTGCCCTGATGGAGAGAAAGGATCCAGTATATATGTGGGTGTTGCTTGTTTGTTAGTCCTCACAGCCAAGGGAATGCGCTATGCAGTGAAAACTTCAGCTGAACACTGAATCACTTATAAGGCATAGAACCATGAGAAGGCAGAGTTTGCTAACACCACTGTTCATTGAGTTACAGTTTTCTTTAGGGTTTGGTTTAGTGTTTACATCCTTATCACGCTTTCTGGGTTATCAGCACATCCAGACAAACCTCAGTGCCAGGCTTGAACACGATGCTTTTGTTAGAGCTGCATATTTTATGTAGATGCAGTAATGTGGATTGTGGAATCAGCAGTGATATTCCTCACCAGTAGTGCAAATTTAGCACAAAAAGGATGATAAGTAATGAGTAATAAAATATGCCATTGTCTTCCATAAGTGCCTCACCTTGCTTGTCTCTCAGCTCCTTGTCACCACCTCCTATGTGTGAGTCCACAGCAGTGCAGCAGGGCTCTATGGTGCATCTTCTAGTGACAGGGATGCTGCCACGTGTCTGTGGGTGGGTAACCAGGAGTTGCTTCTGCCCTTCCTGCCCAACCTCCAGATTAGCTGTGTGTGTGTGTGTGTGTGTGTGTGTGTGTGTGTGTGTGTGTTGGGAAAGCTCTCTTCTTTGTTCTCTCTAGTACTTGTGTACACACCTGAAGGCCAGATAATAAGTTTTTGTTATGGTTCTTTTATATTGTTGAAAGGCAACTTGCTGTTAACTCAAGCAGCATGAGTGATTATTAAAAATAACTGTTTGTTTGTGTGAATATGACAGTATAATAGGTTACACAGGCAAAGTGACCCAGTTATTCAGGTTCTAAACATGTAGAGATGTGCTATCTTGCTGCACCTCAAGGAGAGCAAACCTTTTATTATGAAATGCTTAGTAAGTTTTTAAAGGTCTATCTATCTATCTATGGGGGATCTATCTATGAGGTCTATCTATGCTAGTCTATCCATCAGGAAGTTTTACCAGGTGTGTACTAGATCTCAACCTTTCTTGTCCACTACTAGTGGATGTTTTCAGCTTTAAAGTGTATTTTTGGGTTTCCTCTAGGATTACTGCAGTCTGTATCTCACTCGCACACAAACATGTTCTGAAGTGATACAGACACCTTCAAAATTATCATTAGTCCTTCAGAACTTCTCTGAAATACTTGGTTTAAATAGGAAGCTACCTAAGCAGAGAGAACAAATGTTCTCAAAAATCAAGTTGTTTGTCTGACTATGGTGTTTGTAGTTTAGTTAATTTAATGAAAAACACACCAAAAAAAGAAAGCCAAAACAACAAATGACAGAAAAGCAGAAGAACCCGTGTGACTGATCTACGCGTTACTACTTAGGTAGCGTCTTTTTCTGTCATGTCTGTTTCTGTAGTTGAACAACAGACTGTTATAGCAGTGCACAGATTTGGAAAACAAAGACCTCTGATTCTTGCTGTTGCATGCAGTGTGTTTGCTTGGAGGTTGTGTGTAGCCCTTCTTTGTGTGTATCTTCCATGACAGATCTTTATTGCACACCTCAGGGTCAGCCACTGCGTGCTGCTATTTTTTCAGATGATGAAACCAATCCCTATAGTCATTTTTAAAGAAGCAGGTTAAAACCCAGTCCCCGTATAGTAACTCCAGGCCTAAGGGAGGCCAGCTTCTACACAGAGATCTCCTTGCTTGGAGAGGTTTGGTCACTTCTCCTTTCCTTGAGAAATCTAGTGAACAACAAGCTGTTTTAAAAGTGTTAAATGTTTTATTATTTTTTAAATAATAAATTTAACTTTAAAGGCTGTGGATTTACCT